ATTTCTACAAGGTATGTGATACCAATGATACAGACCTATTTGACATACTTTAAAGAAAGCCCCCTAGTTATATTGAGCATTTCAGCCTAAGCTAATCTTGTCCACCAGGCAGCGACCCTTAATAATTGGCTAGTACCTAGGTACATAGTGCTAGGTGAACAGGGACAGCAAGTGTAAGGAAACATGCCCAACATTTCACCTGTGCCGGAGATCAATCCTGTACACTCAATGTGTGAGCTGAGGATGCTATGACCCAAGCCAGGGGCACCAAAAGCTTATGATTATACAATAACTCTACAGATAAAGGAGCTTTTCCTGTGAAAAATTTAGAAAGGAATGCCAGAACAGGTTTATGACCTATTATATCAATACAACATGGAAAAGAACAGTTATCTAGTAATTTTTTTAAATTATTTAATAATTTAAGTATATTCTTCATGCCTCATTTCCTGTTAGTTCATGCAGAGTTCCAAGACATTTTTTAACGCCTTCAAGTGCTCTTGAGACCCCTAAAAGTTTCCAGGTTGATCCCTAGAAGAGCCAGCACATAAGTGGCAAGTCTTTCAAACACCTGCTGTCTGTTATCTAGCAGTAAATAGATACCTAAGCATTAGTTGACTGGTGTGGGTCACATTTTGTGGAACCTAAAAATGAAGACCCATTGGGAATAAGCCACACTCCTTGGTTTTCTTAGGTTATCCTGGGTAATTAGCCCTCTGATGTTACACAAGTTGTCTTCTACCTGAACCGATGAATTTGAGACATGTGCAACACCTGGGTATTTTGAATTTGAAGGAGGTTTGCCCTCAATTGCTCAGCCTGCAACACCTTCAAGGCCAAGGGACTGAGTACTTCATCTACTTTCTCCAGATTATAAATACTGTACTATACTGAATTAAAAAAGTTATTGGTTGGCAAAAAGTCTTTCAAAATAAAGGTACCTAGGTGTTGCACATGTTACATTCATTAACTTGTCACTATTATCTGCCATTAACTCTACTGAATCATTGGTCAAAAAATGCTGAGCTGCTCTTATTGACATTACCCTGAGTAATTACATTCACTGGGAAGCGCTAATGGCACTGAGGTCATACAGTGCCTGGAGGAATGGGAGGCAATCAGGGTCGTTCTAAGGCATGGAAGTATAAGTCTAATTCCTCTGATCAAGAGGCCCATACCAGAACCATGAGGGATGCGGGGGTTGACTGACACGTAACTGAAGCTAATGCCACTTTCACTAGTAGTAATAAGGTAAAATAATGAATATTTACAATTTACCACTCCTAACTTGTCTAGATTTAAGTATTCTAAGTATTAAGATTAGTTTGCCCAAAATGCCCTGGCATAATAGTAGCTTTCTTTGTACCTAACAAATTATAAAATGTAATCTCACACAAATACAAATACAGAATTTATTTCTTTGCAAAAGGTTACTCCTTTGCAAAGAAATAAATTCTGTATTTGTATTTGTAATACAGTACATGAGTGAAGTGAGAACTGTCCTCAATAACCACACATACATAAAGTAGCAGGGAAGAAACATACTCTGGATAGAAAATCACGAGAAAATAGGAAACTGGGAAAGAGAGAATTTAATGAAAGAAGAATGCGAATAGCATTATTTCTGGAAGAGAATCTAACTTGAGAAAATGTGCAGAGCATACATGAACTGCATTAGGGCTTAGATCGGTGCAGCTGCAGTTTTGTGACCTTTTGTGGACTTCAGCATATTATGTTAAAAACTGCATTGGGGTGTCTCTTAATAAATCTTTAAGTCAATAGATTATTATTATTATAATCAAAAAAGAAGCGCTAAGCCACAAGGGCTATACAGCCTTAAGTCAATAGAGAAATGTCACTCAGTTCAACTCTGCTACTTACTTCTTTCCTAACACACAATCAAGGTATCTTAGCCCTATTGTGCAAGTTATGTTTAAGAAATATTAACTACTTAAATGTTTTCGTGGGAGGAAGAATATATCTGGTAAAATATGAACCATATCTAATGGAGACAAATGGTTTTTAATACTTGACGTGCTGTTGGAGTGTGAGCAAAGTAACATTTATGAAGGGATTCAGGGAAACCGGCAGGCCGGACTTGAGTCCTGGAGATGGGAAGTACAGTGCCTGCACTCTGAAGGAGGGGTGTTAATGTTGCAGTTTAAAAACTGTAGTGTAAAGCACCCTTCTGGCAAGACAGTGATGGAGTGAATGATGGTGAAAGTTTTTCTTTTTCGGGCCACCCTGCCTTGGTGGGAATCGGCCGGTGTGATAATAAAAAAAAAAATAATAATCTAATAAGTTAGTTTATTCAGGTGTAGGTACACATAAATAGTTACATAAATTATCGTACATAGCAGCATGTCTAGATTACCTAAGATAACCAAAAGAAGTCAAAGTGACTTACTTGAAAGTGCTGACACTGCTACCATAAAATAACCTAACTTAACCTTAATCCGCTGGCAGTAAATGTGTGCCTTTGTTTACAATGTGAGGTGTGTCAATTGGTCCAGATGTACTGGCCATCAAAATATACTATTTTTTGTTTCCTAAACTGATTTGCACAAGAAATATTTATTTATTCCGTGATGTACATGGGTTGTATGTGCTGTAAAGTATAAATTAAAGCCTGAGTTCTGCCGAGTAGCAGTAGGCAACTATAGTCTAATTATTCGATTGTACTGGAATGGGTTTAGATGTGATTAGGTTAGGTTAGGTTTGGCTTCCTTTGCTTATTTTTGATTTCCAGTCACTCCTATTGTCATTAACCCAAAAACTGAGAAAATCTTTTCGCTAAAAACTACTTAGCAACGAGGAATTTGTTTATGGCTGAAATTTCACTGTTGGAAACATGAATATTGCAACTCGACTGAATGCTAATTCTCCCGCATACCGGTGGGACAAATGGGATAATAACTACCCCTTACCTTTCCTCTGGCCCTTAGCATTCCCGGGAGAAGGAATAAGACAGGTGAGCCATGTGGAAATAGGATAATGAGGACAAATAAGAGGACAAGTGCACCCAAACTTGCCCTTTGTTCCTAATGTTTACATCGGGATGTCTGTCGGGAAGGACAAGTTACCACACAACACCCTCAACTATATTGTAATACGCCTTTTACCTATTTATTACACAACATTATCCACAAGATATTAAATTTTGTTGACAATTTGCAGCTCTTTATATCTGAGAGTATTTAGCCGAGCACAATATGCATAAAATTATTAAAAAATTGATATAAACATGTCAGGTGAAGGTGTACGGCAGCTGAGCTGCTCGTGCGCGCTCAGCTGATCGTCAAAAAAAAAACCCGCGAAATTTAAACTAATAAAATTATATTTTATTAGTATTATATTAGTGTGACGCGCTAAACTCGCAGGGGTAACACAGCGCTTGGTGTATTAGGAGACAGTCAGGTTTAATCGTAGAAAGTGAGTTTTCTTTTTCAATCAGAGCGTCAGGTGTCCCGTCGCCGGGATAACAGCACACTCAGCTCACACACTGAGGTCCGTGGTTCGATCCCCGGTACAGGTGGAAGGAAACACCAGGAAGTTCCCTTTAAGCACTCTCTGCTTCTGTTCACCTAGCAGATATAGGTACCTGGTGTTAGTCGACTGGTGCGGGTCGCATCCTGGGGACAAAATTGACCTAATTTGACTGAAATGCTCTGCATAGCAAATGGCTTTCTATATAGTAGTATGTCATTGATGTCAGCTATGGTCTGTCTGTATAAGTTGTATCATGTACTTGAATAAATATTATTATTATTCATTTTGGGTCTGGGACCAATTACTGTATTATATTATCATGGGAGATCACTAAACCCATAGGATTATATAGCACATGTGGGAGGGGGATGTGGAAGGTATTCAGGCTCATTCAGGGAACTGGAGCACAGATCCAATTCGGGTCTGGGACCAGAGAACACACAAGCAAGGATGAATTACCGCTGGATGTACTAATGTTGAAGACAAGAGTAAAGCAACTGAAGTTAAATCATGTTTATAAAATTGCTCATCTTCCACTGTCTTCTATATACATATACATATTTCTTGAGTCTTTAGATTATGTCCTTGTACTGTACTGATAAAGCTACTGGATGGCAAAATGTCTACACACACAGATTCTCAGATCTGGCTCGTGTCTAATTCTTCATCCTGTACGTATTACATACCACTGATATGCACTTCAGTGTGACTGTTAAAAGAACCTCCATACCTTAATGTGATCCTGACAACAATTATCTCATTATATTTATTATCACTTCATGTAACTAGCTTCATTTCTATCATAATTATTATAATTTTTATCTTGAACTACTGAAAACCTTAATTATTATGTAATCTATGTATTCTTATTTTCAAGTACCTTGCTGGGATTTTATCTGTCCATATACTCTGAGTTATTCTCACTTGAATCAATTCTACTGTGAGTATTATTATTATAATCAAAAAGAAGCGCTAAGCCACAAGGGCTATACAGTCTACTGTGAGTAGCATTAATGTCTTATATACATACATGTAAAATATCTCATCACATTCGGTAATAATACAGGTAATTAGTTTCACTCTTGTTGCAGTTTTTATTATTTTTTTATTTGGACTTAACAAAAATCATTTTAATATAGCATAAATTAAGAGCTCTTGTTCCCATATAACTTATTTTGATTTCATCTACTTAATATATATTTATTTAACATTAATCTACTTTATTGTCTTATATATACTAAATAAAATATAGCCATAGATGTAAGTTAGGTTTAAGCATGTCTAAAATGCTCTGAATAACTAAGGGATTTTCCATGTGATAGATGTAATGTCATCCAATTTTGTACAAATGATGTATTATGTGGAAATAAACTGACTGATTGATAGATTGATCATCAGTACTTGGATGCTTTAAAACAATCCCAGTTTTTCTGATTTCTTGGATAATACTGAAGACAACTGTATGTTTATAGTGCACAATAATTAAAGATGAGGATAATAACACAAATATGTAGTCTAAAATGTTAGCCTTTATGGCAAAATGCTACAGAATATTTAGAAAATTCCAGTGAAAATTCAGTTTACTACAAGCACAACAGATGGAAAAAATAATAACTTACTTGTACTACATGGCAGACATCTGACTATAAAAACAATTTAGTCATACTGTGACTCTAGTAGCAAGTACTAGCTCTCTCAGAAACTAGTAAATACTAACTTCCTAAGGAACTTTTGAATACTAGCTTCCTAAGAACTAGTAAGCTCCAGCTCCAGAAGAAACTTGTAAAGTACCAACTTCTGAAGAAACTAGCAAGTACCTAGGAAATTAGTAAATACTATCTTCCTAGGGAACTAGTGAGTATCTAAGGAACTAGTATGTACTAAGTTTCTTAGGAAATGGTAACTACCAGCTTCCTAAGGAACTAATAAGTACTAATTTCCCAGTGAACTACTGAGCACCAGCTTCCTAGGGAAATAGTAAGTACCTACTTCCTAAGGAACTTGTAAGTACCTGTTTCCTAAGAAACTAATAAGTACCAGCTTCCTCTGGAACTGGTGCTAGCAAGCACCAGCTCTATCAAGAACTAGTAAGTACAACCTTCCTCAGGAACTAATAATTATAGTACAGTACTAGTTGTCCAGGGATCTAGTAACTATCATCTCTCAGGAGATTAGTAAATACCAGCTTCCTTAGGTACTAGTAAATACCAAATTCCATAGGAACCCACAAGTACCAGCTTCCTCAGGAACTAGGAAGTACCAGTTACCTCAGGAACTAGGAAGTACCAGTTACCTCAGGAACTAGGAAGTACCAGTTACCTCAGGAACTAGCAAGTACCAGTTACCTCAGGAACTAGCAAGTACCAGTTACCTCAGGAACTAGCAAGTACCAGTTACCTCAGGAGCTAGTATGTAAAGTAAATGGACACAAATGCAACTAATGTGACATTTTATTGTGGCAACGTTTCACTCTCCAGGAGTTTTGTCAAGCCATTATAAACAATACATGGACACAGAGGGTATATATAGGTATATATAGGCTTAGAGTGAGGTGTAATACTAGTAGTAGTTGTAGTAGTGATGTAAGTTATAGTAGTAGTAGTAGTAGTAGTACAATATGGTAGAACAATTAACTTGCACACGAGTAAAAGGATATAAAAGCTATTATATGTACTTGGGTAGCATAAAAATAGGTTAGACAAATATTTCTATTGGAGGTTGGATTTGAGAAGGCCTGTTTCAGTGTTCATCCTCTGTAATGTGGTTGTGTAGTATTAGCAGGAGAGACTATATGATGGCAGGGTTTACTGTTTTCAGGAGGATTCTTGCTAAGACTTCAGAGATGGTGAAGCTGCCTTTGTTTTGATTAATTACATTAGAAACAGCGATTAGTGCTGATTTGAAGCACTTGCATCTGAGGAAATTAGTTTCTTTGATCACTAATCGGGCATCCCTGAATTTCATGAGATGACTGGTGGAATTTTGGTGTTGTACATAGGCGTACAATTAGTGATCAAAGATTAACGATCAAAAAAACTAATTTCTGCAGACGCAAGTGCCTTGAATCAGCACTAATCGCTGTTTCTAACACAATTCAACAAAACAAAGGCAGCTTCACCATCTCTGAAGTCTTAACAAGAATCCTCCTGAAAACAGTAAACCCTGCCATCACATAGTCCCGCCTGCTAATACTACACAAGCACATTACAGAGGATGAACAATGAAACAGGCCTTCTCTAATCCAACGTCCAATAGAAATATTTGTCTAACCTATTTTTATGCTACCCAAGTAATAGCTTTTATATCCTTTTATTCTTGTGCAAGTTAACTGTTCTACCATATTGTATTACTACTACAACTTATATCACTACTACTACTACTACCACTAGTATTACACCTCACTCTAAGCTTATATATACCCTCTGTGTTCATTATTGTTTGTAACGGCTTGACAAAGCTCCTGGAGAGCAAAACGTTGCCACAATAAAATGTCACATTAGTTACACTTGTGTCCTTTTACTTTACATATTGTCGGTAATTCTACCAACATACGTATATACAACTAGTATGTACCAGCTACCTCAGGAACTAGTATGTACCAGCTACCTCAGGAACTAGCAAGTACTGTATCAGTGTCCTAAGGAAACTCGTAAGGTTAAGGTTATTTATTTCTTAACTAAAAAAAAAAAAATGCTCCTCACATGAAGCCTGAAGTGTTATCCACTGACAACATCCAGGAACAAAATTATTTCTGAACACATTGTGACTCTGAAGTTCTTCCAGATCATGAAAGCATGGTGACTAATGAACTTGTATATGCAGCATATCACTGCATTAAGAGATAACTTTAATGCTTTACATAAAGTAATGTATTTTAAATACACAAGTACGACATTTGAGTACAGAGAGTAAAACAGAAATCATTGCTTATCATTCTTTCTCCTGATACACGAAGGGGTTAAAAATGTAATAAATAAAGACAAATTATACTAATAAACCAATATGGCAGTTTTCATCACATTTCTTGCAATCATTGTACGACTTACTAGCTAATAAGATTCTTGTCACCTGTGCATACCGGGAAAATGCATTACATCACTAGTATCTATGAATTAATTTCGATTGTCTCTTTTTTTTTCCATTTTCCTAGTGTTATCTTCAGTGAACAAAACACCTTTGAATATTGTTTGTAAACTATTAAGACCTTAGATCTATGAATAACAAAGAACATATAACATTATAAGTACACATCAGAGAGAGAAGAATGGGGCATCAGTATCAGCAATCTGATGCACCACAGACAAAAGGATGCATGAAACAAGTTCTAATATATTTGCTGTTTGTGGGCAATGCTGAGGCTACCTCAACCTGAAACTGTGAAAAACTAATCTACTTGAAGGTAAGTACTTGAGCAGCTGTCATTGTAAGTGGTTAATGCAGACCTTACAAGTACTGTGATTTGTATTTCATTATTGTCATTAATTTGTAATCTTTCATAAGGATTTAAAAGCCCTACTCAGTCCTCAGTTCTGCTACCACGACTGCAGTCAACAACAGATTTGCAAAAATTGTACTACCCTGTTTTAAAACAGCTTACTATATGAAAGTGAAACAAAAAAGAATAAGAGTAATTACCCATAATCACAAAACCACACATTCTTCTGTTCTCTTCCTTAATGATTATCTATTCCAAAACAATGTACGTACTGTAGTATAAGCTCTGAATAAAGCTACCACCCCTTTCAATGCTATATGATGCCAAAATAAATATAGGCACAATACACCTCTGAAAAATTAAAAAAATAGACATTCATTCGCACTACATCACAATCTGTAGTGATATGGAAACAGACAATATTGCATGTGTACATGCATCAGTACACACATGTACACTTCCATTCACATTAATTTGAATAACAGAATCATATGAATATCCAAGTGCATGCTTAGACAAATATTTCGTTAAACATGCTTATATGTCTATCGGTACCTTGTAAATATAATGATTTCAATTATCAGTTTACTGTACAAATAAAAAGGATAATATAATGAATGTAATTTATAATGAAGATGGTAGTGACATGCCTGTCCCTAAATTAAAAGTCATTGTGGGGCAGTGACCTCAAGAATGTTTTCTCAGAAGATTGCAGCAAACTGAGATCAACATATTGAGTATACTGTACTATTATTGTCTTTGGATTAAATTATATTTTAAGATATGCTATAGCGCATCAACCAACAAGCAATTTTGCCTCCTACCATTAAACACAGCAATGAATTCTAATCCCAAACTCATCACCTGTTTCTGTAAGCTTTTAATAAATAAATAATTATCTAACAGTGGGTGAGACAATAGAGGCTTCAAAGCTAAATTAATCCTACTAAGCTCATTCCATTTCTCCTTGGTAAGGGATCCTTTCAAAGAAATAAATTACTAATCCTCAGCATAGTTGGTTGTTGGATCTAATAATATCAATAATAATAATAATAATAATGATAATAATAATAATAATAATAATATATCAGAAACATTTCTGAAGATAAATAGTATTTATACAGATTTGTATAAAAGATCATTATTCTAAAAGCATCATTCACTTCAAAACAAACGATGCTGAGGAGGCTACTTAGAATTTTTGTATAAAAAAATGCTACCCAGCTTGTATTAGCAACCCTTAGAATGTAAAAGATAGTCATTCTTGTTTTGCTCAAAATACACACAGAGGAACATGAGAAAATAACAAAATTTATAAAACATTTCCTGTCTATGAAACACAGGATGAATATATTTTATTGAACATGTTACAATTCAGATAAACATTTAAAATTATCTACAAACTTTAAAAAAATCAACACAAATAGTAAAAGGTGGGGGAAATTAAATGCCAGAGACACTAGCCTTTACAAAAGATTACACAACAAAAAGTATAATTTATGGCACATCCATTTAAATAAAGCCTTATAAACCATAATAAAATAAAGCTTTACCATTACATTTATGTCTGGCATAATCACAAAAATTATGAATACAAGTGTTAAAATGGGAAATCACTCTTCTGCATGCTACCACTCAAAAATATGATCAATATGAAGTACTATCTCATTATTCACATAAAATATGAGTTCCATTAACTATTCAGTAAAAATTGGCAGACATTAACATTGTGTCTTGGGACGATGTTTGTAATCTACAGTGACTTACGTCAACAAGGTCAACAACAACATGACCGATACTAACCTCATTATTCTCAAGCTTTGTATTACTCATTAACAAAAATATTTGTTATTCAGTAAATCCAAAATTTGTAATTCTGAATATATAAAAAGTACATACACAAGCTTGCTATGCAAAATAGAAGCCATTACTCACTTATCCAACCAACATGATGAATATGTGCTGTATAAATGTATTTACCTTCAAAGAAGGGCTAGGCCAATCTGCAGCACAGATGACACCTAACTTCTTACATGACATGTAAGAGCTTTCCTCTATTTGTGGTGTCTAAAACTATAAAATTATATATTTTTTTTTTTTTAGAATTAATGAGCTTTTGTATTGAGCAGTCACACAGGTGTATGAATAGGAAACTGGAGTCAGTAGTTACATTTATTTTGTTACCCACATAACAGTTAATTAAATATAAAATAAGAACTTCTGGTTTGTATTGTTTTTTGAACTGAGCACCAACTGCTGAATCACTATGCCATGTTTAGAAATAAACATCTTAAATATCGTGTGTATGTGTTATTGTGCGGTATGTGCTATTGTATAAATAATCTGAGATTTCTACTAGGTGTAGATGGTAATTACAAGGCTTGTACAAGGGTTTAGGACCATGTAGCAGTATTAAAAAATCCCTCACGAAAGGGCTTAAGTATTGTTTAGATTTACAAGCTTGGTGCAGTAAACTTGCTTTGCATCTTTTGGCTTAGTCCAAGAGTGATGAAAAGATAATATATGCAGTTAGATCGATAAATACCTCACTTGATGTAAACAATCTTACTGGTAAAGTACAAAATCTGTTTTGCATGATGGGTATAACATGGCCTATTAAACTGTTTTCCCATTTTGCTAGTAATAATAGCAATTACATATTATATACAGTATGTATGTATTTATAATTAGTAGGGTGGATGAAGCAAAATATTCAAGCTTCCTAGGTTTGGCCTCAGATTGGGCTGCAAAGGTTATGAAACCAGTCAAAGAATGCCCTATCATTCTCTTTTCCAAGGCCCTCATAAAACAGCCATAAAACTGTTAACTTCACATTATTGTGAAGATAACACTATTATGGAAAAGGAATGTAGGGAACTAAGGACTGGGTACTATGCATTGGGATAAAGGGAAAGACATGCACCCAGCTCTTACAATAGAGCATTTAAACTAGCAAAAGTCTACACATACATACAGTACTATATGTACTTTGGCACAGATTTTACATTGTCAAGCCAAATGGTTTACAAATGCCAAACTATTATGGAATGTATTGGTTACTAATGTACACATGATGTAATAAATATTATTGAAGCTGATGATGTATGGGTTTATAACAAATTTTATGAATTTTCTCAACTTTAAAATAACAGAAGAGAGAAATATCAGGTAAAGGTTAAAAAATTAATAAATAAAACATCTATCTGAGACTTTTCCCATGAAAGGTAGATGGGTGAGCAATGACCCTACACATAATAGACAATCATGATTCAAATACTTGGTTATAACGAGGTTGTGAACAACAGGATATCACTCAACTATACACGTACTGGTTGAAGACTACATATGTGTTCAAAATATTAATCTCCACTGAAATGGTATTGATTTCTTACTCAAAGATATTAAAGATGATTGCGGAAATGTCGAAGTGACTCATTGCAATACAGAAGACCTTTAATATCATATCAGTTATCAGATGAAAAATCAAATTGAAAATTATATTTTGAACACTCTACTTTGAGCAACATAAACTTTCTAACATGTTACTAACAAGAGTGAAAACTTGGGAGAATTTATTGTTTATGTTATATCACATTAAATTTTTAAAGTATTGAGCTATGTCAAAATTTCCTATTGGTCAGTTTTCTAATCCGACATGGCATATTAAAAATGCTGTATAGCATGAGCATCATTGTATACTGACCTGCTGCCTTACAGACCATCAGGCAACTAACATGCTATACAACCACTAAACTTATTATATGGCTGGTGAGTCACAAGCCCTGAGCAAATTTTTCCCACAGCATTAGCCAATCAGGGGTTAGTTCGTTTCTTGTAAACATATCAAAGGCAGTTGCATCACCATACAAGGCAATTCCAGTACAGTACATGTAAAAGGCTCTCAAAATAATAACAGTATCCTATCTTCAGTGTTTCTCATACTTTGTCCTTCAACTGCTGCTTGTTTGTACCACATCAGCACACCAATGCAATCATAAAAAAATCCTTCCCTTAACAATGGTCTTATATTAATAATTTTAGATGCCCTCATTTATATTTATACTTTTTTAATAACTTTTATCACATTAATAATCAAGATTTGCTTAATTTCTGTATATAATGGACATCTAATTCAATAGTAAAAGATTAATACATCTGACCTCTCAAACAGTTTGTTAGGTACTATACATATAAAAAAGTATATATACAATAATTTTTTATGCTCAATCATTGTAAAGCTTCAGATTACCTTCTACCTACCAACATGATATATGGGCTCTCACCTTCATGACTCCTCCTCTTCCAGATCCAAATCTTCAGTGTCAGGAGAAATGGTATACGCACTGACAATCTTCAGTCTCGGCTCATCATCATCATCATCATCATCACTATCTGTAACGTCATCAAAGAATACTTCTTCTCGTATAGCTTTCTTGTCGGGAAGCCTAGTTGTCTTTTCTTTTGTTATGATTGATTTACTCTCTCCCACTTCCACTGTAGTTAATTCACTTCCTTCCATCTCTGTTTTACAGAGTGCACCATCTGCAAAACCTTGAGTATCTTTTATTTCCTTGAGATCATGTTTAAAGTCTTTCTGAGCATTTTCAAGACAATCAGGCATGTTATTATTACTTCTTCTGAATTTACCTGATACATCCTTATCATAATGTTCAGGAAGTTTCATA